AAATCCAAAGATTCAAAGCCAGGAGCCAGAACCTTCCTTCAGGTCTCCCATGCAGGTGCAGGGTTCTAAGGCTTTGACCTATGCTCTACTGCATTGCCAGGCTACAAGCAAGGATGTGGAAATGGAGCAGCCACAACACCAACTGGTGAACTGGTGCCACATGTGATCCTGCCACTAGAGGGGACGGTGGGGGGGGGGGAGGGATAGCTAATTGTGTCATTGTGCTAGGCTTTATATTGCTTAAAACTAAAGAATCGACCTGGTTGTCATCCCATTACGAAATAGCTGTGGCATCCCTAATGGGTCTAGTCTGTATTTCAAGATGATGTAACACGAGCCAAATATTTTTGAACAATAGCCTTCAAAAATGTTTTGCCTGTGTGCTCTCTAGAGACTTCTGACAAATCATGGACACATTCACATTTTAGTTGACACCTAAAATCTTCAAATCGTAAACTCAATAGTTACAAAGAGTATAATTCTTGAAATATGTCATATTTTATGTGACTTTAAATATGCTTTGTCAAATCCTTGGATCAGTAGGTTTTGCACATTCAATTTGTATAATATGTTTTCCATAGTATCTATTTGTCAGGTCCAGTTCAACCAAATAGGTAAATTAGGCTTATTTTCTCTAAGAAAAAGTTGAAGTTAGTATTTTAGTTTAAATGAACCAGAATACTTCCGTCACTTTAAATACTATCTCATTTTTTAAAATTCTAAGATAAAGTATTACATAGGTAAGACATGGAGTGTTAAAATTAATTTGTGCCATAACTGAAATGTCATTTCTTCATCAATATTTCTTACAGATGATCTGGTCTTTTTTTCTTTGCTGTTACTTTCCTCATCAGTATATATTCTTAAGACATTTCTTTTTTTCCCCCACAGAATGAGTTAAGTACAATAGCAAAATTGAGAGGTGCTAAAGCATGTTCTGCTTTTGTGAGACAGAAGAAATGTAAACAGATACGAAAAGGCATATATTTTAACCTCAGATGAATACATTTTTTGGGAAAGAATACACAGAGTGTGGTTCTAGAGTTTGATAAAAAAAAAAAATAGAGTGACCATCTGTTGTCAGGAAGAAGACTTACCATTGTGCCAGATGTGCCAGAGCATGACGACTCACTGTTGTCATTCCTTACAGCTAAGTAAGAAGCACACCTTGTTTCACTGCTGCTCCTGGGGTTTGAGCCACACTACCCAGTGACATCTAAGTCCATATATTTAGCACATTTGTCTTCTGGGTAAGAACACATTATGAACCTACAACCCATTCTTTTTGAAAGAGAAAGGGTTGACTTGAAAATTTATATCTTTAATCTACCATGCTCATTTGCTGTTAAATACCATTGTCTTATACATTCATTTGCTATAGCTTATAAGTGTTTCAGGGTAACACTTTGTCTTCCTAGGTCATATAGAGTGTTGCAGGCACTTTTAGCACTCCTGGCATAACAAATGGTTATCATTTGTAACAGAAGAATAAGAATAGTGACAGCCTCATGACCTCCTAGAAGCTTGATGTATAACAGGAAATCTATTACAGACGCAATGTAATCTTAATACAACACACATTGTGAAAACATGCTTTCGGCTGGGAAATCCAAATAACTGCTTCCTCCAAATCTAGGGAATAGACCATTGATACATAATGCTAATTGTGTAAAGATTTTTTATTTTTTGCTGTATAAGGTAGGTGTGTGTGTGTGTGTGTGTGTGTGTGTGTGCGTGCGCTAAAGAGACTCCTTAAATAGCCAGATCTCTTTTTGGGAATTTTCAAAATTGGATTTGCCTTGCAAAATGTTGATTAGATTCAACTTTTCAGGAGCAAAGGCAGTGTGCAGAAATGTGGCATAGTTTGGCAGGTGTCACTGCTGAAGTATCATTTAGTGGTCGCCAAAATCAAAATCTCTAAATGTGGCAGGTGGCTTACATTAGAATCTGATGGCCTCCCTCCAGGCAAGAAGGTCATGCTAGCATTGGGTTCACTTTGCGTTATTAACTGTGTTTCATTATAAGCGGTGTTCTGAAACTCTCTTGTGCAGCATTAGTTTAAATAGAGCTATTAGTTTAAATAGAGATGCCTTATGGACTCGGTTATGGAGATAAACCTGAGGATGCTTGCAAAGATAAGTGAGAGCAGAACGTTGTGGAGATACTGTTCATTTCTTCATTCATATGTAAGTGAGGGGCAAGTACAAGAAAAACGTGGAGTAAGACTGGATAGGAACATGTACAGAGAAAGAGACGCCCCAGATCACAGATAACCTTTATCTGCCAGAGGCAGGCCCTCTGACTTCAAAAATACAACAAAGAAAAGCAAGTAGGCATCCACCATTTCTGCTAGGTCTCATTTCTGATGCACATCAGGAAAAATAGCAGTCACTAAATGTTGTCCAGGTATTGTGCTAGACTCAAGTGCCAGAGAGAGAGAAAAAATAGGAAGGAAGAAGGAAATGCACTTTAATAATGCAGCTGAATGCCTCGGAAGACCACGTATTGTCCTAGATCCTGTTCCAATTTGACTTCTCCAATAGCAGAATGAAAAGCTTCATTGTGACGATGCCTACTGTGACCAAACACGCTACTTGTATTTTTTTTTCAAAAGTGTTAAGCTGACTAGTCCCTACTAAGATTTATTCAGACTGCCAAAAATCCTGCTAGAATTTCTATTCATTGTATTGAAATTCTACCCAGCAAAAGCACTGCACTCTTACTTTACTAAGACTTAGAGCCAGTCGTGGGGTGCAGTCATGGGGTGCAGTCATGGGTGCCCTGTGAGAGACACTTAGAACGACTGGGACACTTCATTAGCACTCTTTCAAGTCTTGTCATCTTCCTGCTCACGAGTGTCTAGATGGTCAGAAGAGACGCAGTGCTGAGTGCATCAGTAGATCTTGGGCCTGGGGATGGGTGTATGAAGGAGACAGCCATGAAGTGGAAGGGATGGAAACAATTTGGGGCACTGGTGGAGAGGAATAGTGGGGTTGGAAATGGTTAATTTGGGTTGTTTGATTCATGTTTGGGTTTGTCAGCTGGCTACTGCTGGCAGTTGATGTTTGGAAGCAGGGGCAGGCTGTGCAGGCAGGATTTGAGGGGGAAGAGTGGGGGAAGGAGATCCTTAGCTACCAGGGAGAAAATCTGCTCTGTGCACCTTAGGAAGAGAGTCCTCCGGGGTGTAAAAATGTGTTTCTTGGGGCCTCTGGAAAAGGGATGAGCGTGAGGAATCCGACAGCTGGAGAACTAAAGCTAAAGCGTCAACCCCTTCCTAGGCAAGAGCGTGTGGAGAGATGGGTTGCTGGTGGGATTGGGGGATGGGGGTTACTCCTGTTAACCCCAGGGCAGAAGAGCAGAGAACTGAAAGTCTGTGTGGTGGTGGAGGTTACCTCAGTCAGGACAAAGTGTTGGGATGTGAGGGTGGGTGGGGGCCTCAGGGGTGGCTTGGAGCCCTGGCGGTGGCTGCCTGACGTCACCGGCCTCTCTGGCAATAGGCTGGGAGCTGAGCTCCCTGTAGCAGCAGCGAAGGCGGCAGCAGCAGCGGCGGCAGCACGGCTAGGTCTCCGACCCTTCACTCTTCGCTTTCTGCAGCCACCACTGCAGCCGCGCGGCGGGGGCTTCCTCCCTACAGCCAGCCGCTGGCTCCAGGTAAGAGACAAGAGGCAGTCAAAGGCTTCTGATGGTCCGGCCACCAGGTGGTTGGGTGGCAGTGGAGCGAACAGTACCACTCCCCCGCCCCCAACCCCACGGCCTGCGCCAGGCACTCCAGTCCCTAGCTTCGGCCCCCACGCCTACCCCAGCCTCTGCCCCGGCCGCTGCCCTGGCCCCTGGCCCCAGCTTGGGCTTGTGCGCCGCCTGGCAGCTCCGCAGTGCAACAGTTTGCAGCCACCTCTTGGGAGCTGCATCGAGGCTGTGCTGCACGCTGCGGGTCCTCTGACTATGGTCCACAGGAGGAGCCTTGGAGCCAGCGGGCTGGGTGTGTGAAGGCCAGAAAGAAGGTCTGTTCCTCAAACTTTACAGGCGGGAACCCTCCTTCCAGTTGCATCTCCCTTAGAGAAAAGCAGGCTACTGGCAAACCAGTACGCGGGAGGATCGGGAGGAAAGGGGGCGTTTGTGTGGATGTGCTTCATCGAGCAAGGTGCTTTATTCAGTTCTTTTTATTTGGGTGGAGGGGTAGGAGGGTATCAGAGAAGAAGGCAGGAGAAAGCATGGGGTGCAATCTTGCGCGTCAGCCGCGGCCGCTCACCGAGGCATAGTGGGAGGGATGTGGTGCCAGGAGCATCCCCTGGGAATGGGACCTAAGTGATCTGATGTCGTCTGGGAGAGAGAAGGGAAGGTCGATCTGACTGGGTGCCCGGGCGAGTAGCATCCAGGTAGAGAGTGCTCTGGGAAGTACGGACCCGGAGCCTACACAGTTGCCGTGTGTACAGCAATTGCAAAGTTGAGAAGGGCGCAGCAAGCTGCCTTATCTGCTGAGTAATCTGCATCTCCGAGGTTCCAGCTCAGATCCCTTCCCCGCGGGAGACAGATCCAGCACTAAAGGCTCTGGTGTGCTTTCAAGGGCTGGCGGGCTGGCGGGAGGAAAACGGGGGTCCTCTGGCTGCAGAGAAAGCGGCCAGCGCCCCTTTGGGGACATGCGCTCCGCCGGCCGCAAAGCGGCAGCGGGCAGATCCTTTCCTTCCTCTGCTCTGCCCAGGGCAGCGGCTGGGAACATAACCTAAACCTGTTCTCTTCGCAGCCTGGTGCCTCTGTGAAGGAAAAGGGCGCGCGGATTCGCGTTCCAGCCAGAACCAGAGAGGCTCTCTGCGACAACACCCGCTCCCTGGCCGACTTGCTTGGCAACAGCTGCTCCCCTGGTCCTTGGCTCACGCGCACGCCCCCTCCCGTGTCCGGGAGTAGTTTCTGGTGGTGGGGGCTTCATCCTCTTCTTGGCTGGTGGGAAACGTGTGTCCAAGAGAGGAAGCCTAGTGGGCCCAGCCCCTGCCAGCCCAGTGCCGATGAGTGCCCGGGCGCCGAAGGAGCTGAGGCTGGCGCTGCCGCCTTGTCTCCTCAACCGGACCTTTGCTTCCCCCAACGCCAGTGGCACTGGCAACGCTGGAGCGCGTGGCCCTGGCGCAGGTGGTGGCGGGGGCACCTGCATCACGCAGGTGGGACAGCAGCTCTTCCAGTCCTTTTCCTCCACGCTGGTGCTGATTGTCCTGGTCACCCTCATCTTCTGCCTCATCGTGCTGTCCCTCTCCACTTTCCACATCCACAAGCGCAGGATGAAGAAGCGGAAGATGCAGAGGGCCCAGGAGGAATACGAGCGGGATCACTGCAGTGGTAGCCGCAGCAGCGGGGGGCTACCCAGGCCAGGTGGGCAGGCCCCAACCCATGCGAGAGAAACCCGGCTGGAGAGGCAGCCCCAGGACTCTGCCTTCTGTGCCCCCTCCAACACCACTTCCTCCTCCTCCTCTTCATCCCCTGGCCTCCCGTGCAATGGCCCCAGTACTTCAGCGCCTCCACCGCCAGTCCCCAGTCCACAAGGAGCACACGCAGCCTCCTCCTGTTTGGACCCAGCTGGCGAGGGCCTTTTGCAAACGGTTGTACTGTCCTGATTGCCTAGCCCCTCCCCCTCGTACCCAGCATCTTTGGCATCCTTTGCTTTTTGTTCTTCCTTCCTTCCTTTTCCATTGTCCTATGTCTCCTCCTTCCTCCTCCTTCTCTCCTTACCTTCCCTCCCTTTACTGTTTCTCCTCCGCCGAGGCACTGTGCGGTATTTGTAAATATTGGGCGAGGAAAGTCTCGGAAAAAAAAAAGAAATACTGCTGATAATAGTACTTTATTAATATTTATAGTAATTACTATGATACTAATAACACAATCCAAGCGCATGACAAATCACATAATTTTTCATTGTCAGTGAAGAATGCATTTCCCCTCTCTGCCCCACGCCCCTCTCAATAAAGGAGGAGAAACCGCACAAACTACCAAATATATAAAAGGCATTGACCCCCGAAGCAACGGGAGGTGGAAGGGAGCCCAGTAATGTTGTACATAGCTGTTAAGGGTTAGTTACCTTCCTGTCCCCTCTGCCAGTCCCCCAGCTTTCACTTTTCCTTTGGCTTCTCTTCCCTCCCCTATTTTCACCTTCAGCCAGGCTCAGGCAATAGTCTATTATAAAGAAAACGTCTGCAGTAAGCACCAGGACTCCCAGAGGCCACAGAGAAAGTCCCAGAAAAACGCTAATGACAGGTACCCCCTCTCCATGTTAACTTTCCTCTCAGCTTTCTTGGTTAACCACGACGTTTCCAGGACTGATCCTCTTACTTTACATTGAGAAATCTCTCTCGCTGGCCGAGTATACGTACAATAGAATCTTTAACTGAGTTTTAAAAAGCTAAGGCTTTCACTCCCTGCTCCGCCCCCACTCATACACTTTTGATATATGGTGTTTTCTAGATTGACAAAGGATACGGGAGCTGTCCATACAGGTCTGGTGCTGAAATTGCCTCACCATAATGGTTACTTCCTCTGATTGTGCAGATGGAGGAGGGGCTGTTTAGGAAAGTGACTGTACTCCAATTGCTCTTGGTTGATTTCTTCTTTTTTTTCTACATTCAGGCTAGTGTGTACTATTGGTTTTCTTATTAAACACTGCATAACTTACCTTTTTTTTCCTTTGTAAAAACAAAACGTGATAAGCTGATGTGCAGTAATGAAAGTACAATATCTAACCAACCAGAATGTTACTGTTTTACTTTAAGAACAAGTACACCTTTATTATATATTTATTATATTGGTACCGAATACAGAAGAAAACCATTACTCCATACTGTGTCCTTCAAACTGTATATTCTTGCTCTTAATTTTCGGCTGTTGTTATGACAGGATTACCATTGGATGAAGAATTCAGTGGTGCAGACCTGGCTTCTGCTGTTTCCAGAAGTGTTCTTTTGTACCTATCTCTGTAGTAGACTGTTAAACACATATGTTTTCTTTCTTTCACAAATAACTGAAATAACCACAATGACAGAAAACAAGCAAATAATGGATGTGCAGCAATGCCGTCTTTTAAAACATGGTAAATATTTAAATAGTGCCTGTATTCCTCCCTGCATGCAGTTACCACCTGGAGGCAGTGGTGTATGCACTACTTACATATTTGAGGGTGAGACTGGTGGGATGTTGGGCAATTTGGATGACAGGACATGCAAATTTTAAAAGAAGCTAAATCCAGTAACTACTTTTGGAATAAAGATGCTTGAAGCTTGTTAATTTAAAGATTTGTTCCTGCATTTGAGATGCAGCAAAGGAAGGGCTCTCTTTCTTTCTGAGTCTGGCTTAGCTAACTTTACTTAACACTTCTAGCACTTAAGGAGAAAAAAGGAAAGTGAAAGAATAAAATAGGTATCTTGAGCTCTGTCTGCAAATGCCAGATAAGGACATCTATGTTGGAAATGGTGTCTTCCTATGAAAATCTACTACTGTGTTTCCTTTGAATGTATGACAGAGGTAAGGGGTCAGAAGCATAGCACAGTCTTAATTACATGCAGTGGCATCATTTTATGGGAACCTGTTTTTTTTTTTTTGACAGCTGTATAAATGCTTGAAAAATATGTGGATATCACATACAAAAAGTGCAACAAAAAGAGTCCTTACTACCTTACAGGGTTTGAGACAACCATGTCCCTCAAGTGTATCTTTCTCTCAAGAACATCTTTTGTGTTCTGTCTTGGGTCCAGGCATATGTGGTCTTTTCCAGAAAGAGTGTTAACTCTGATGGTTCTTGGTTATCTGTTAAGTTGTCCAGGTTCAGTCAATGCTTTTTATAAAAAACTTTTCAAGAATTTAATTTTAGTCACCCGTTAAAATATTCACCCAAGTCCTTTCCTGAAGCACATTTAAACATCCCCTATTGCAATATTAGGAAGACCAGGTATAATCTTTGAGTACAACATATAAACAATGACCAGATCCTGTCCGGTGCCTTAGTCACTTCCTAGTTTAGGCAACACAGTGCATTAACTCTGTGAGGCCTCTAGGGAATTCTTTAGTGCATCAGAGCTTTACATTGTACATCAGAATGACTAAAGCACTGTGAAAAAGAAAGTCCATTAGTTTTTGTAGCTTATCCAGATCCAGCTGTAGTTCTTTAATACCTTATTACCAAAATGACTTTTGGACTTGAATTTGAATAGTTTAGGGACCAAGAAGGTAGTTTCCTTATTTCCAGTGAGCTCCAATAAGTACACAAATATTACTTTCCTCCCCCTTTTTGGTGCACTTTTACAGTGAATAATTTCCCATTTTATTAAAGCAATAAGCTATTCTGTTATGAACAGTTCTGGATGATGATTCCATTTCCTTGGTGCTGAAGCTATTCATATGTTCTTGCCTTATGAGTCAATGCATTCAAGGCGTGCAATAATAATCCCCTTACAAATAGCAGCCTGTTTATTCTGGGGTGTGTGTGTGTGTGTGTGTACATTGGGTGGGTAATGTCATTTCGTCATTTATCATTTTCCTGCCAAAGGAATAAAAAATAAGAACAAAAGAAATAAACACATTATGCATATTGTAAAAAAAGGGAGGGCAGGGAAGAGAGAGGGCGAGAGAAAGAGAGAGGAAGGAAGAGAGAGAGAGATTTTGATGCCTCTAAATGTGGGTACACATCTGTAATATGCTTTAGTTTTGCACCTTTAAATCTGTATGCTTTTCTCCATCGATTAACTATGTTTTAGTATTTTTAAATAGTGCCCTGTGTAGAGTTGATGCAGTTTTTAAGTCAGGTTCCATATTGAGTTTAATATGCTAAGAACCCTAAATTTCTGGTGGTGTCACTTGAGGATTTTTTTAATGAGATAGGAAAAAGATTACATGAAATTCTATGAGCCAGTCTCCATACCAAATTATGGCAATAAGCACATTTCCAAGCAATTTGTACAGACACTGTTTAAAACACTGCTTACAGAACTCAATTTATAGTCTCAGGAGTTTGGGATGCTACCAACAGGGCATTTAGGTTTTCATTTATATGGAACAAAAGGCAATCTGGGAATAGCTAAATTTATTTTAAGTGTTTTATTCACTGATGTCCAGTCAAACTAATTGCTCCAAACCCCTAAAGCTCCAGCTCAACTTCTGCATTTGTTAATCAATAATGTGGCATGCTTGATTTTTATTGTTTTCTATGGTAAGAAAATTGGAGAGAAAGTGCCATTATGTCAACTGTATGGAACTTTGAATCTTAAAACTGTAGATGGGTATAACTTTAGAATTTATATACACCCATATATAATGTATTTATATATGCATACATTTTGTACAAATTTACAATGGACTTTTGTATTCTCTTTTCCGTCATTATAAGAATGAGATGGAAACCAAATAGTTGTTCCACCCTGTTATCCAGTTAGGATACTGAAAAGTCAGGTATATGCATGCACTTGTTTCTCTGAGTCAAATCTGAATGACTTTCTCTTTATTTAACAGGAGGGGAGAGTCCTGGTTGGCTGGGGAAACCGGTAGTTGGATAAGCTTCCTTTCTTAGTTTAGCAATTCAAATGTAGCAATGATAATGAAGTTATGACCACTTCAATGTGATCCTAATGTCTAGATGAAAAGCATTAGTATTCACAAGAATTTTAGGGCTGTCTAAATCATGAACCTGGTTGGGGCTTGATTTTTTTTTCAACCTATATTTTTCTGTGAAGATGCAACTTTTATCTGTATGGCTAAAGGAAAAGTGAAAATGCAACCATTATTTTTTTTGCTTTAATTTTAAGTTTTTGACATCTGACTTTACACCATTTCTATGACTTCATTTTAATTCATTAGATAATGGTTACAATTTCATTTTTCCAATGTGCAAATATATGCTTTATATGCTTTTCCGTGGGTGACAAATGAGCAATTGCTAGTTGATTTTATATGGGAATTATAGGTTAAACTAGAACTAGAAACTGTAGTTGAATTGGGTCAGGCACCTCATTCCCATGTGAGTCTGGACTTTTAATTAGAACATGAGAAGCACTTATTTGGGCCACTGTTTTTTTTAGAACCAGTGATTGTGGATCACAGATGATTCAATTCATTTAAGAATGGATTTCTCTCTCACTAGGAATGTATTTAATCACTGAACTGAATGTAAATCTGATTCTGATTTTTTCATTTACCTGGTGATATTTGAGGAACAGTTTGTGTGGCTTGATATCGACACCAACTGTCTGACTTGATAATATGATTGCTGCCATGTAGAATATTTGACTGAGAATGAGAATATAGTTAACTTAACCTGGGGACAGTATTTTGTTAGGTGGCCCTACCTGTGTAAGGTATAAGGGTATTTGCCTGACACTTGTGATTACATTGATTGTTTCTCCTGGGACATTAATGACAATAGCAGCAGCAGTCACAGTCTCACCTACAACAAAAACAACAGAGTTAACTGATTTTTTGAACTTGAGTATATCCAGTAGAGAGAATAAAACAGATACTCGAATTCATGGGAAATTTGTTTTGCTTTTCTATCAATAAAAATGTTTTCTTGTTAATTGGCATTTTGGATACTATTTCTTTCTTAATTTAGAAAATAATGGGGTTTCTTCATCTTACT